TCATCTGATATTATTGTTATTATTCTCACTTTTCTTCTGTTAATGTTTCTTTGGTATTTTTTCTTTACCATTATTCTAATCCTCGTATTGTTATTGTGCCCTATTAATAGTCTATAAATAAATCTTTGTTTTCTTAGTACAGACTGTCTTGTGACTGTGCAATTTGGCACAGAGCCCAACTCAGGGCTCAATCTCACGACCCTGAGATCATGACCTGAGCTGAAATCAAGTGTTGGATGCTTAACTGCAATTTAACTCAAGCACATTTCTAGGACCTAGTCATATTTGGACTTACTGCCACCTTGCTTTACGTTTTGTATACACTGTGCTTTCTTATGTCTTTTTTCTTCTTGGTGATATTTCTTTGAATTGATCAAGCATTTTTCATTCATTTTCCCCTAATGTTTTAGCAATTGTGCATCCTATCTCAATTCTTCCACTGGTTAACCTTTAGTTTAACACAAATATAAACGTAATTTTCTATTAATGTCTAGAGCTAATCTCACTTCGCTCTTCAACTTCCCCATCTCCCACTTCTCATGTTGAGATCATGTGAATCCTCATTTTTTTAATAATAAATTCTAATTTAAACTTAAGTCACATGTTATTCTTTCTTTTTTTTGTTTTTTGTTTTTGTTGTTGTTGTTTTTTGGCATCATGGCTATTCATGGCTCACATTTCCTTCTCTGATTCATCTTTTAAGGCTCTTTTGCAGTAGAACTTCCTTCAGGTTGAAGTTTACAGATAGCTCAGAGCCTTTGCTCATGTATTTTGCTGTCATCTGCAACTAACAGTTTGTATGGGTCCATACTTTAGTTGCATTTCCTTTCTCTTGGAACTCCAAAATATTCCCCTGTGTCTTCTTGCAGGGCCAAAGAGAAATCCAAACTCAATCATCTCATTCCATTTTATGAGTTCTATTTCTTTTGTCTCAGAAAGCTTTTAAAATACTCCTCTCTTTCCCTGATCTTCAGGAATTTTGCCACAGTATGGATGTGTAGGCTCTCAATGGGCCCTTTCAATCTGCATGAATTTTTTTCAATTCTGAATATTTTTCTTTTCTTATAACTTTGAGTACTTCCTCCACTCAGCTCTCTTTGTTCCTGAAACGCTCACAGATGAATATTGAAGCTTCTTTAACTGCCTGGCATGGCTCTTACCATCAATAACTGCTTTCCACCTCTTTAGGTGTCTCTTCTATGTTTTGTAGAATTTTGAGGTTCAGTCTTCCAACTGACTCTTTGGCTATGTTCATTCTGGTATTCAGGCGACTTACTGACCTTTTTAAAAATTAAGCTTATTTCCAGGAATTCTAAACTAATATCTTAACTTCCTATTTTTATTTTATATTTTGTCCCATATTTTATTTGATCTATTAACTCAGTTGAGATTGATTTCTTTCTTTCATGTGATTATTTCCTTCAGACATTTGGTAATCTCTATGATACGCTTATCTCTGTCTTTGAGATTCCCCATCGGACTATGAATACTGTTTTGCAGTTACCCCTGCCTGCTTTAGCAATTTAAGAGTGGGAGGCTCTGCATGGGCTTCCTGGCAAGGATACTAACAGCTTATACTTCTTGTCTGGGAACTTGTCCTCCCCTGTGATAGTAACAGTCACCTAGGGGCATGGCTATGCCTGTGTGACTCAAGTGGACCAACTTACAGCCAGGGGGCAAAGACCTCTGTCAATCACTCCCTAGCAAAGGGCCAGGGCAGGAAGATGCACACCTGCCAGGCACCTCCTACTAAAGAACTCAAACCTGCCACCACGATGGTTGCCCACCTCATACTCCTTCCACTCCATAAAATCTCCACCTCGAAGCTCAAAGCACACTGGCACCCAAAACCTTATGTTGAGTGAGTCCTTGGCCCTCAAAAGTCATGCCTTCAAAATAAAGAAATGTAAATAAATGGCCTCTTGTATTCTTATTTCTACCTGAAAGGATATATAGGGTAGTGGTTAGAAATCTACTGTAAAACATCCAGTCAGACTGCCAGGTTCAAACTCCTAGTTCAATCATCTGCAACCTGGGTGACTTTGTGCCTCAATTTCCTCATCTGCTAACTATAGGTACTAATAATAACCTATCTCTGAGGATGATTGAGATGATAAATGGGCTAACACATACTAAGGTCTTTGATCAATACCAGTACACATAAGGACTTGACAAATATCAAGAACTATTACTGTTCCAATTTCATGACTGTAGTCTTATTCTGGATATTGAAACTCACCTCATGCATGGACCCAACATTTTTTTAAAAATGCAAAAGAGAAGAGTCTCAGCTGCCCACAATTTGGGGACATAATTAGAATTTAAAATTAAGAATTTCTCTTCTTTTTTGATTGTCAGTTGAAATCATATTTTTACTGATGAAATTCCTTATCCTTAGAGCCTTTGACTGCATTGGATTCTACTGAAAGCATCATGAGCTGAATTTTAATTCTTATGATGTTTATAGCATGGTGACTGGTGCTGGGGATTAAATGCATCAGTATAGCTAGAAAGGATTTTCTGTTGCATTTACAACTTGACTGGGCAGGAAATTCTTCAGTTGTATATTTTCCCCTCAAACCTGTAGACTAGGTTTCCTAGTTTTCAGATATTCAACACAACATGAATGTCTGAAGAGCCTCTGATTATTCTTTAAAAGTGAACTATATTCTTTTTTGCCCAAATGTTAACAGAATTATTTTCTCAATCTTTTATTTTTACAGTGTTTTAGCAAGTGCATTTTTGCTTACTTCTCTTGGAAATCAATCCATGTGATCAGGTGACTATCCAAGTTAAGAAAGTCCTCTGTAATTGTGTCTTTGATTATTAATTTAGTGCCAATTAATATACATGCTTTCTCAGAAATGCCATAATTCTTGGGTTTACTTTCTGTTCTTCATAGCTGTGAATTTCTCTTCTATTATTTCCTAAATATTCTAAGACAAACACTGAAATACACTCTATTCATTAAATAAATTTTCCAGGCACCATTTCTGCTTCTTTACTGCCTCTAAAATCTATTTAAATTCTGCTATTGTATTTTGAGGTCCCTGGCAGTCTTTTATATCTCATCCAATTCTTTCCATTGTCACAGTTTATCTACAGTTTATCTTCATAGATTTCTGTTTAATTCCACAGATGCCTGCCTTTTTCAAACCTATCAAAGTTTTCTAAGGTTCTTTTCTGGTTCTTGCCACAAATCATTTTCTGAAGCCTCATTTTTTTTTTGTCCTTAGCATGATATATTAATTCCTTATTGGGCACTATTTTTTTCACGGCCCTATATGTTTTTTTCCCATTTACTTAACCCTGGTCCTGTAATGATCTATTCGAACCCGTGTGTATCAACAAAAGGTGTGTAAGTTTCCACCAGTTCCACTGTTGTGCATTTGATTTCTTCTCAAATCCTTTCACCCATCTGTAGCTAAAACATTGTTTGATGAACATGATGGATAACATTATTTAGAAGGGAAACAGTGTATGAGAATATGAGAATTTTTAAATTAAATATTAAGTAAATAGAACACATTGGTAAGAGGTGTGCATGTGTTGTTATATTTGAGCAAAGAAATAAAAGAGTAAGACAATGAATTTGGGAAAACAAGAACACAACACAAGTAATGTGGATGAAGAACACATTTGACATTGGCCTTCAGTTATGGAGCAAAGAAACCCACTGACACACCACATGGCACCCATCATCCCAATCATAGGGCCTCCACCTAAAGTTAATGACACTGTAGTTTAAAAAAAAAAATCCACACATGCAAAAGAAGTAAATAGCAATCAGGGATGAAACAATGTATGTTCAGGCTTGCTTCAGCATTAAGAAAAACGGGGGAGGAGTTTGAGGGGTAAAGATGCTTTAGATAATGTATGAAATCATAAGGAGGTTGAAATAAAACAGAATGTACAGAGCCTGTGAACTGCAGAGTACTAGAGGGCCTGTTGGGCATAACACATTCCTGGTTCTCTTCTCAGAATGTTTGTAGTCAGAGTAAATGAATCAGTTGTTTAGGAATCTACATTGCCTCATTTGTCCCACCTGTCAATGTTGCTAAGCAGAAGGAATCTTCAACTAGAAACAGAAGAGCTAACTCCCCAGATTTGCACACTCAGGTTGGTTTTCTAGCACTTATAGAACACGGATTTGCATGCTCTCTGTGTCTCGGGCTGCTATATTAAAGGGTCAATCTCACTGGCGCAAGAATGAGAGTCAAGAACTCCTAGATTTGAGCATGATCCCCAGTTTCTCATAGGCTTCCATCTATTGTAGTTCCATTGGACCAAGTTAGAATGCTTTCCTCTCCATGTAGTCTCTCTGACACTCCAAATGGAAGGATTAAATGAAATACACGAATCCAACAACATTACCACCAGGGTTCTTTCTGTCCTTGCCCCACCAAAAATACTCGATTGTGAAGGCTAGACTGCTCAGGGTAGAAAGTGCCAATACCTCTCTTCACTTTCCTGTGCATTGTATTGAGGGAGTTTCATTCAGTCTTCAAGTGGCTGCAGGAAGAAAGAAAATGACAAGAAAGACAGAGGCTAGGAGATCCCAGCAAGGACAAAGGAGAGAAGTGGATGTCTGGAATTTAAACTGACAGAGCTCTTGTGTGTCTTAACCCTGGAGGAGGCAGTAATGGTAGGGCACAAAGCAGACTGACATGGAGTGACACAGTACCGGGAACCCCTTGACTAGGCTTGCCGTCCTGCTCTTAACTTGTAGTCAGCAGAAATGTCTTCCAAATGTGATGATCCATTGGCTATCACTCCTAGGTTTTAGAATCATAGCAAGCTTTCATCTTTTGTGTATGCCTTCACATGTAATTCTGGTGGAAAGTTGGAAACGATTTTCTGGCACAAGAGATATCTTTCTGACATCATTGAGATGAATGGTTAGCTTTATAGATTATGTATTTCTATATTTTTGGATGAAAGTATTTAAAGTCAGGCTTAGGTAACTAAAATAGTTGGCACATAAAATAGTATACACATAATAACTAACAACAAAAGTGCTTTATTTACTAAGAAAAAACATTTTAATCAATGGAAGTTTAGTAAAGAGTCTGCTCACTGATTCACAGAAAGACTTAAGAATCTCATTCTCATTTTTGTAAATAGATACATTTTTCCTTTTGTGATTAAAATTCTGAGAGACACCAATACAAATGAGAAGATGTGCTTATCAAGGAAAAGAATAAGAACATAAGCAAGGCCAGACAATGCCACATAGGTCATAGTTTTCCAGCTCAGTATCCAACAGTGATGACAGGCCAGGCACAGAATCTTCAAAACATCAACCCCAAAAGGAAACAGAGAAGAGACTATGTATTTGATTACCTGACATAAATTTGACCATGGGACATGCATTCTTTGGCAAGGACTTGGAAGAGCCACCTCAAGCTGCCTTACATTATCAATGAGAATTTTTTCTATACTCACAAACAACCTTGACGATGAGAAGTCTATATGGGGAATATGGAACTGGTCCCTCACAGCACAAAGAAATTATTAATGTAGAGGAAAAGGGGGCTGGAGGGGAGGCAGCATGACAGCGCTGAACTTAACGTACCTCCTCCTCCAAAAACTGCCACAGCCACACTTAACCAACATAGTGGCAACTAGGAGGATGATGCTCATAGGGTGGGACAAGAAAACAGAACCATGACCAAGACCAGGAATTCACCTTGACAGAATGAGTGGCAACATCCTAGAGTTAGGCATTGTTAGTAGGCATTACAGAGCATTCAGCTAAGGCAGAAATCAGGAATTCAGACAGACATATCAGAGAACGAAGGTCCCAGGTCCTGGAGTATTGAACACTCAGGCATCAGGCTTTCAGTAGACTAGAGCTTGATATGAAGCCAAGGGCTTTCCTGACAGAAGTTTCCATGTGCATCATGCCCAGACCCAGGCCTATTCTCAGAATGTAACCAGGCATGAGGCCTCCAGGAGGAAATAGGTCCACATGGCCAGACTCCTGACAGAGGGGGCCAGGTAGACCAGCAGCCCGAGGTGAAGGCAGCACTCCCCTGTCCTACCTAACATGCTGGGTATCTAGGGGTAACTACTGAGGAGAATTCTCTGAGGAAGGGGGTGAAGGAGACACACAGGATAGTGCTTCATGATGATGGCCTAGAAGACTCAATAAGGAAAGCTGAGACTAATTTTTAAATCTATTGCCGCTCTCCTGGGTCAATGTCAGATTCACAAAACATATCCTGTCAGTGCAGAATGAGTGCTGGCCGGGGCAGGCTTCTGTCCTTGTATTCTCACTTAAATCCTCTTCAGTAATAAATCCTCTTACTTTCTCCCAGAGGAGAAACACCTTACGGGGCATCTTCTATGAGGAAGAGGCAGGACATCTTGCCCAGCAATGGGCCATGGTTTTAACTACAGTAGAAACAGAGCTGAGTTTCTAAGACACATTCCATTTAAACATTTCCTCCTGCTGCCCACGTTAAAGTGGCTTCTGAGTTTATCCTCTCCTAGAAGTGGTCTAATGAACTTTCAGGATTCCTTCATAAGGAGGTAGGGAACTTAACATTCTTGATAACATTGACCTGTAGGTCACAGAGGGGAAATGATATGCTTGAGTGTTCAGTGCGGTGAAAGGTTAAGGAGGAGCCAGAGTCTTCGATACTAATGGACATAGATGAAAGTCAGCTACAGAGTGAGAGAAGGATCAGGACAAGCACGGGCCAGTGTCTGGAGGAAGGAGGCATAGAGCTGTGATAAAATTTGTTCAGCTTTGGATATCAATGAGAACACAAATGCCCATGTTATGCCAGGGGGGACCATACCACCACTTTTTTCCAGCTCCCAGGTACTAGACACTGTGCTCCTTTCAAGGAGAGCAGACCCTGCCATAGAAGAGAATGGTTTTGGTTTTGTTGTGTCTGATGAAAAAGAGGAAGGGATGATCAACAGTAAATGTCACCCCAGAAGATAAGGACCTTTCCATGCCGACAACCCCGCTGGCAGCAACTGCCTGGGTGCCATCTTCATCCACTTCCACAAAGGTTTTATGGACAACTTTTGACAGGTACAAATTGGGACTTGGAGAGATTCCAGTAAGATCAGCTTTCCCTTCCTCAAAGACATCCGTGATGCCCATGTCCTGTAGAATAGAATTGAGATCGTAGCTGTCTTCCAGGGTGAACTGTGGGAAGGAAACCGCTACTGTTTCTTCTGACATATTCTCTGAGCTGCTCCAGGCCACTATTTTTTCATGAGTGATGTTCTTTTCAAGCTATAAGAGGAAGGAAATAATGTTTAGGGTCAGATTATGATCCTGCAGAGGATGTCCCAATTACTTCAAAGGGCTTGAGCCTATTTCAACAGCCAGTATAACAATCTTCTGGGTCCTTCCCTAAGCCTCAAAATATTCTGATTTCATTTAAATTCCTCAAAGCAAACCTCTTTCCTCTTTAGAGGTCATAGGATGGTTTAGTTCTAGTGTCATCTGGTATCTGAATGTCAAAGCCCAGCAAAGGTCAGTCAACTAAGTTGGGTGAGCTTGGCCAAGCCTTAACATTCTGAGGTTCAATCCCCTCTTCTAAAAAAATAAAGTGAATATCATTAGGCTATTGCGAGGGTTGAACAAAATAAGGTATGTAAAATATTTAACATAGCACTAGTACACAATACATTTTGAATAACAGCCATTTTTGTGATCACTATCCAGGTATTTCTCTCTCCCTCTGTCTCCAACTCTTCACTGCACAGAACAGTATACAGCCAAGCCTCCATAGCCTTCATTGATTCACACCTCATGAGCAATCTATTACGGTGTCAGTGTCTCCACTCTCTCAAGGCATGTGCACACAAAACCAGATTTCAGCTGAAGGGTCGTGATGTGACCCATAGCAGAGTAGTTCAATCAAGAGATTGACTGAAATCAGGCTATTCAGAGAAAAGGAAAAGAAGTTTCATTTGTAGCAATTCTCACATCCCTCTGAGTCCAGATGATTCCTTGGTCTGGTCCAGAGGACAATTGCCAAGAGCTACGCAATGGGAGAGGTGAGTCCTATCCAATGCTTTTGGCATTTGTTCTTTTCTAAATCAATGAGGAAGAACTATCTCACAGAATTCAGATTCTGATATCCTCTCTGATACATCTGCTAGCTGAGGTGCCATCCTTCCTCAGAAAGGTAAATGGTAAATAGGGCCCCTCTCCAGAGATCGACAATGACATATTTTGGAGAGATGTGCAAGTGATGATTTACCTCTTCCAGGCCCTTCATGTTATCTGCAGAGTAAGGAGGCAGCAGGACGAACATGCTGAGTGCCCCCTTGGTGTACCTCATTTCGAGGATCTGTGCCTTCAGCTCCTCTATGAAGCCGATTCTAAATAGGCCTTTCTGGTGCATCATCTTCACAGTCTTCTTTTCATTCTGCAGTGGACAAGACAGAAAATCACAGGACTGCCCGAGTAAGTTCACATGCTCACGTGGCCTCCTTCTCTTCTGAGAACAGGGCTCCATTCATGAGAAGGGTCTTCACCAGAAGCTTTAAGTCATGCCAGTGATCTAACCTATGAACTCTGGGCCCACTGATCAGTCAGCCCTTCCTTTGCCAACACTTTATTTTCCCATGGTTTTAATAGGTTCTTCAGCTCCTAAGGTCACTTCTTGGTAAACTGTCCATCCAGGCATCGACCTACCCTAGCCAGGGAAACAAGCCCCACGTGCTCCCCCTCCATGCCTGCCCCACCCAGTCCCAGTCTCTTAGCCTCACCTGACCCCTTGCCCTCACTAGCCTGAATGACCTCCCCAGCGCCAGTTGAAACTTTGGTTAAACGATAATCATGTACTATTAAAAGACAACATTTTTTCCTAGGCTTCCATCAGATACAGGGCACCACCCCAGACACCTTGTGAGAGGTCACCAGTCTACAGATGAGGATGGACAGTGCTTGTGAGAGTGACATAGCTAACAGATGGTGGAGTGGGATGCAATCCTTTCCTTTCCTCCATTCTATAGTCTGGGCTAAGATCCCGGGTTTCTTGAGACAAATACAGATGTGAATGCCAATGCATGAATTTAGCTAAGTAACCTAACCTTTGCATTCTTTCCCCTCAACTCCTAGATTGAAATAATAACACCCATTTTCATAATGATATTTTAGGGAACAAGTGAAATAATGAGTGGAAAATGCTCAGCACAGTACCTGGCAATGAGGTGGTCAACAAAATTCAGGTACTGATTTTTGCTAATAACAAAATATTCTTATTATATTGTATGCTGTAACCCAGAGACCTAAGTTCTAAATTTGACTATACATCCTGCAAATTGTACTTCTTAGTGGAATTATCAGTGGGATGTCTAGAAAACCATGTGCTGTAATATCTTACCTCATTTAGAGAGAAAGGTGCATCAACTGTGTTTTTAGAGTCAAAATATTTTTCCCATTTGGCCTTGAAGTAAACAGCATTTACCAGCACGAGCACTGTTGTGCTGTCAATAGCATCCTTGTCAAAAAGTTCCTTGATTTTACCTTTAAAAAAGGTTTCAGAGAATATCCTGAATATGAGTTGTATCAGAGGTATTCATGTAGACAGATTTTCCTTAATGCTGCTTCCCATCCCCAAGGCTATGGCATGTCTGATTCAAGAACTAACTCAAGAGGGATGCCTGGGTGGCTCAGTGGTTGAGCGTCTGCCTTTGGCTCAGGCCCTGATCCCGGGGTCCTGGGATCAAGTCCTGCATCGGGCTCCCCATGGGGAGCCTGCTTCTCCCTCTGCCTATGTCTCTGCCTCTTTGTGTGTGTCTCTCAAGAACAAATAAAAAAAATATTTACAAAAAAGAGAGAGAGAGAGAAAGAGAGAACTAACCCAAGAAAATGACAGGACTCACAGTTCTGGGTGCGGTGGAGGTGAGGGCGGAAGTGATGGGGGAGAAACGCCATCACTCAACCCCAAGAGGGACCCATTCTAAAGCACTGAAACAGAGGGAATTTCCTTCGATTCACTGAACCACTGTGGTGGGAACTTGCTATCGGACATCCTGTGTCATGATTTAACTTTCAGAGTAGCCCCTGCCACCTGATTATATTATAACCTCTTTGAGAAACAGAACTATTGTGTAAAATTCCTATCTCAAGCGCTCATCACAGCAAAAGGCATATGCTTAAATACAAACAAAAATGCATATAAATTTTTATATGGTTTTTATATCCCTGCCTAGTCAGGATATATGAATAGGGCCTTCTGTGTGTCCTCTCTCATTCCATCTCATGTCAACCATGAGAAGTAGGTATTGCTATCTTCTCTTATAAGGAATAAACTACAGCCAGTAAGAGGTAAGGCCACATGTCAAAACTCAGCAAGGCTGGCTGAGATCAGTTCTGGGGCCAGATTCTAGCTCTTGGCCCAGCTCTGAGGCTCTTTTCACCGTAACACAGCCCCCAAGTGACCTGGAAAATCCCATGCTGTCATCCATTTATAGTCCAGCATTCCTTTCCACCGCAAAATACCAATCCATCGGTTATTTGAATACATGCCAAGTTCTTAAAGATGAGTAAAGCTTCCTACTGTAGCACTTCCACTTAAACCCCATAATAATAGATTATGTTGACATCACCTACACTTAAAATACTCTAGGAGAGTTAACTAACTAGGAGAAATGAGATATTTGTGGCTTAGTATGATTTTTTTCAATGAACGCACATTCCTCTTGGCAACTGAGTGGAACCTTGAAGGAACAGGAATTTCTGTGGCATGTGGACCAAGCAAGGAGAAATAATTTTGGATTTAGTCGCTTCTCCCAAGATGAGTTCAGACAGGGGAGTTTCATATTTAAAAAAAACTATTCCATTGAACTTAAAGTTTCAAGTTTCACTTCTCATCGGTATCTCTACACCCTCCTTAACTCAGAAAACACCTATATAGTTAATGAAAGGTTGATAAGAATTGGGATTTTATTATGTCCCCATTTCCCACTGAATAGATTCTCCTCACAATCTTTCTACTGATCTTTTTTTTAACAAAATGGAAATAGTTAACATCCTGCTGGCATGTGCTTGGCTGAAAGGATTTCACCTTTTCTGTTGGAGCAAAAGAGCAACAGTAAGCAGCGCAGCAGCTAAGTGTCTGACTGTTTGCACCTGCCAAATGGCCTTGAACGTGGTCCATGTAAGTGAGCGCCTGGTCGTGACAGACTAGCAGTCTCAGACACTGGCCTGACTTTTCTCCTTCTGAGTGGAAAAGAACACCAGCTACAATGTGTTTGGGCTTTCTTACCTTGGGACTGAGATTCAACCCAAAAGTTAATCTGTTGTCTGGACTTTTCGGTTTCTTTTCGGAAATCAATACTTTCAATGGTCGTGTGGTAAAATTGAATCACACCGTCTAAGTATTCCTATTAAATTGGAATAAAGAGAAAGAATGCAATGAAATCAGATAACCATGCTGATAGCTAGGCGTGAGGCAGTCAAGAGAAGCCAAGTGAGAGATGTGCCCAGTTATTTAAACAGGATGCATGTGGTCTCTATCTATGCCCACTTTCAATTAGCCAGAGGCCTTACACTCATTCTGGTGACAATTTAGGATATAGAAGGGTTATTCACGGGGCACCGAGGTAGCTCAGTTGGGTAAGTGCTCGTCTCTTGGTTTCAGCTCAGGTCATGGTCACAGGGTCGTGAGATGGAGCCCCGTGTCAGTCTCTGCGATCAGCATGGAGTCTGCTCAAGATTCTTTCTCCTCAGGGCACCTGGGTGGCTCACTGGTTGAGAGTCTGCCTTTGGCTCAGATCATGATCCTGGGGTACTGAGATAGAGTCCCATACTAGGCTCCCTGCAGGGAGCCTGCTTCTCCTTCTGCCTATGTCTCTGCTTCTCTCTCTATGTCTCTCTCTCTCTATGTCTCTCATAAATGAATTTTTTTTTTATCAGAAAAGATTCTTTCCCCTCCTTCTCCTACTCCCTCTGGTCCTTCCTCCTGTTCACACTCTCTCAAAAATAAATAAATAAAATCTTACAAAAAGAAAAAAGAATGCTGATTCATAAAGCAGTCCACAGTTACAAGGGCACAAGCCTTTCCCTCAGATACCTTTTCCTTGGATATAACCCATTTATGGAGACACTGCAACATGAATATTAAGTAACTTGAGAGACTTAGCTATATAATGCCTCTATTTTTAGCAATTAAAACCCTACTTAATGGTTCTGGAGTTTCTGGGGTGATGAAAACGTCTTGGAAATTGGATGATGCTTATACAACATGGTGAATGTGCTCAACGCTACCGAATTGTATACTTCAAAAATAGTGAAAAATGCAACTCTTACATTATGTTTTACCACAATTTTTTGAAAAGTCATAAGTAATATACCCAAGCCACTCGGGTGTACATTTTTTATAGATGAATCATATAATATGTGAATTTATAACTCAATAAGGCTAGTTTAAAAGAAAAAAAAAAGAGCAGCATCTACAATCTCATTTCTGTTGCGGGAGAACATACTTATTTTGGCCAACGGAGGTTAAGCCTGTGCCCTCCCCGGACCAGCCTAACCAACTGCATCACACATTTGCCTGTGGTCCCACCCCTCGTGTCCTTTGCTAAGTATGTGGCTCCTTCTGGTAGTGGCAGAGGAAGTTGGAGCCTGGACTCAGATGCGCCTCGCTGGAGGCACACGCTGCTCAGCCACAGGGACAAGCCATGAGCCTTTTGGCTCCAGACGCAGTCTCCTTCCACCGCATCTCGGTGCTGCTACGTGAGTACAGTTTTATTGAGATGTGGCCCGCTGGTGGCCTGAAAGGGGACTTTAGGGGAGTGCTGGGGGCGGAGGGAGAGATGGAAAGAAGAGCTACCAAGTGCATTTGCTAGGCATCTTTACTGGGAAAGACCATCCCAAGACACAGGGCCATTACCAAACCCACGCGTGCCCTGAAAACTATTAGTGACATGACCCTCTTTCCCCCCCCCAATAGGCCTCATACACCGCTCACGTTGAAACCCAGAAGGACAATAGACAGGGGACCCCAGGGAGCCCCCCCGGTCCACAGCACATCCTCCTGTCCAGAGGTGCCAGCTGAGTGATCCAGCTACTCAACTGATTTTAAATAGTATGCTGTGTGATAGTTTTCATCATCAGCCGCACCTAACTCACCGGACAGATGGGGAATCCCTGCTCCCCATAAAGCCTGTTGGCAATACTTAGGGTGTAATCAACTCTGATCCTGTCTATCTTGGAGAGAAGGTGCCCGAAGTAGCAACTGAGCAGTCCACTCTCATCACTGGAAGACTCCTCCTAACAAAAAAAGAAAGAAAATGTGACCTGATCCTGAAATGAGTCATTTCACTTTGTTACCATGTGGGGGAGCAAGCTGAGAGGAAGAGAGGGATGGAGGGCCTGAAGTGATCCCAGGGGAAGATCACGGCTCCCACTTGGTGTCAAGGTCATCCAGGAACAATACACCGGGGACTCAGCAGTGCGTACTGTATTTTAGATCAGCGCACCTTGTTTTTCTCTATATTCAAAAAGATAGAAGAAAAAGACAACCACCTCTCTGCCCTCCTCTTAAGCATTCTAAGGTAGAGGAATATATAACCTGGAGAATATCTTTCCCACTCCTGGTATGAGACAACCAATAAAAGTTTTGTGCATCAGTAGATTACCCCATGAACTAGAAAGGGGAAAACTGGAGAAAGAAATAAGACTCCCACAGCTGATTCCTACCCCTAACTGCCCTTCATCCTCAACCATGCTCCGTCCTGGGGACCTGTGCCCTGTAAAAGTAGATAAGTAATGGAGCTTTGCTCTAACTGTCTTTATCATGATGAGCAGAAGATATGAAATCCTACTCTTTAGGAAACTAGCTTACAGCCAACAACACATAAGACACAGAATCAGAAAAGAATTGGAGGTCATATGGTGTTCCTGCTCTTGCCATTGCCGCTGATGACAGCCAGGACCTAATATTTGGGGATAAGTAACCCTTGCCAAATACAGCACAGCCAGAAGGAGCAGTTCATAAGAAAAGGGACAGGAATTTGTAGTGGCTCACCTGCAGAGACCCCTTTATTTCTTCCTGCGCTTCCAGAGAGCTGTCAGCCAGTACTTCCTGTTTTTTGCTTTTCAGACAGGGATCAGGTTCTTTACTTTCATTCTGGGAAAATTCATTGAAGTGTAGGACCTGCATGATGACAATTATGGGAGTCTCTTAGAAAATATGAATAGCAGGAAGTCTGTTTCAAACACAGTTTTATAGTGTGAGAGGGACAATGATTACATAGTCAAACAACAACAGTTCCAAGGGGAGTGGATGTTTCTCTTGACTTGGTTGTGAAGTGGAATGGAAGGAAAGTGAACTGCATGCTACCCTCAGGTCCGCATTTAAGAGTGAATGTAATCAAACTAAAAGAATATCAAGGTATCCATGAAACACATGTGGTTATTGAGCCAAGCAGACTGTTGGTGTAAAACACCACACTGGACTTTTGAAGACTTGGTATAAAAAAAAAGAGTAAAATATATCATTTACATTTTTTAATTGATTGCATGTTGATATGATATTTTGGATGTATTGAGTTAAATATTATTAAAATTAGTCTCACTCATTTCTTTTTACTTTCTCATGGCTACTAATATTTTTAATTACTTATGAGATTCAAATTATATTTGTGTTAGCAGTGATCTAGACCTTCCAATCAAACAAGCAAGTGATAACAGCAAAAGACAAGTTACACAGAGCATTGCAGAAAGGTAAGATACAAATGCACATCTTGCACTGCTCAGCACAGTTTTCCTGAACAAGCGAAAGCCAGGTGCCTGGAGAAAGAACATCTGAAACCTCATGGAAGATGAGGATGCCAACCACACTCTAAAGTTAAGTTTTGCTAATGGAATAATATTCTAAATCAAAGTAAATGAATAAGGAAAAATGATGACCCCAAACACATTCTACCTTAATCCAAGAATTCAACTCCTCCATATTAAAGGCAACAGTGGGGTTCGCACATAACCTCTGTGACATGTGCGAGATCCAGGGAAGTTATAAGGCCAACCTCAGGAGCCTGTAGTTTATTCGGCAAGTTGTTCTTGTCACTTTCATTCATTCCTTCTACAAATTTGGATTGGATGGCTACTATAAGCCAAGCACTGTTCTATGACAAAGTATCTTGCCATCTGGGAGATTATATTCTAGTAGGGGAGACACATAGTAATGAATTATTGTACGCATTGTGTTGGAAGATGGCAAATGTCATGTGGGGGAAAGTAGCTGGGCGAAGAGGGAATTTTACAGGGTTGGGTGTCAAGATGCAACATCAGATTGAGAGTTCAAGGTAGGCCTGGTTGAGAAGTAAATTCTGATCAAGGTCCTGAAGGAGAAAGTAAGTTATAGATCACTTGTCTGGGGGAAAAGCCATGAGGCAAATGGAATGGAGCAAAGGCTCTGAGGCAGGAGTGGGCATGCTTACCCAAGGAATCTGGAAGCCAGTGTAGCTGGAGGAGTGGGGAGGGGACAGGGTGATAGAGAGAGTCACCTAGCTGTCTATAATTCAGATACCAGACCTTCATGGGCCACGGTAAGGACTCAGGTTCCTGTCATTAGCCAAATTGGAAGTCCAGGCTTTGAAAAGATGAAATAGGCTGTGAGTGAGGTTTTTAAAGGATCTTTCTGGCAGATAGATTGAGAACAAACTGTCAGCAGAAACAAAACAAGGAAGCCCATGAGGAAGTTGCATCCAGGTTAGAAAGGATGGTATTGGGTCAGGCCTCAGGGACGTAGCAGGAAGTGCCAGCATTCTGGATGTATATTAAGAGAAAAGAGGTTGAGTTAGAGTTTGATGTAAAGGGGGAGAGAAAGAGAGGAGTCAGGGAGGACTCCAAGATCTTTAGCCACTGGGTACATAATTGGTGCTTACTAAATATTTATTTATGGAAAGAAAGAGAGAAGACACATACACACATTAAAAATACTGCTAGCAATATCAGCATGGATGATTATAGAGAGGAAGAGGGACAGACCTGCAGACACACAGACAGAGACAGAGAAGGTGACTGAGAAAAGCTGAGACTGAGGAGGCTGGAGAAGTGTTACAAAGGAGGCAGAGCCTTGAAGAGAGAACATGCAGGACGTAAATGAATGCTCCAAGGCAGATGCAGCCTCCTTTCAAGACCCAGGCTCAGTGAGCAGCATGGCTTGTCAAAGAGGGACAAGGGTCTGACTCAGAGAGTGGACCCAGAGGTACTAGATCCATACCTGGTCGATCTGCTCTGCACTGCCACTTCTGGCCCCCAGGCGGACCATGCCAAGGGCAGCTGAGAGGCTCAGGGGACAAAAGAAGATGTTTTTATGATGATCATCTTTGCTTATCTCTTGGAAAAGATCAAAGCAAAATTTGGTGTTGGCTGCAACAAGAGAATCCATCCTGAAACTGACAACAGTCTAAAACCAAAAATAAAATAAAACAGAGAGAGAGAGAGAGAACATGATGATCAGAGGAAGATAAATCAATAGTTCTCATTTTACATACGTGAAATATAATCATATACAATGATTCAACACGTTATTAAAAACTTGAAAACTAGAGCCATCGTCATCCTGCTGTATATATATTGATTTCCATATTGATATTGATACAGACAGAGATCTATTTTCATTCAGTGATGTGAGTTACTTTTCCTAGAGCTGTGGTAACAAATTACTGCAAACCAGGTGGTTTAAATAGCAGGAATGTATTCTTCTTCAGTTTGGGAGACCAGATGCCCAAAATCAAGGTGTTGGAAGGATTGGTTCATTCTGGAGGCTGGGTAAGTCTGTTTCCTTCCTCTCTCCCAGCTTCTGGTGGTTGCCAGCAACCATTGGTGTTCTTGGTTTGTAGAGGCATCACTAATCTCTGCCCCCATCTTCATGTGGTGTTCTTCACTGTCTTCTGTGCAAGTCCAAATTTCCCCTTTCTTATAAGGACACCAATCACTGGAATAGGGCCCACACGAATCCAGGAGGACCCCATCTTAACTTGATTACAGCTACAAATACCACACTTCCCAATAAGAACACATTCAAAGTACCAGGGATTAGGTCTTAGACATGTCTTTGGGGGACAGAATTCTATTGTGGTAGGACTGCCTTTATTCAAGTAAAACAAAGTTACAGGCAACCATGTCCTCATGGTCAGGTTAGCAATCAAGAAACCTTTATTCTGGGATCCCTGGGTGGCGCAGCGGTTTGGCGCCTGCCTTTGGCCCAGGGCGCGATCCTGGAGACCCGGGATCGAATCCCACGTCGGGCTCCCGGTGCATGGAGCCTGCTTCTCCCTCTGCCTGTGTCTCTGCCTCTCTCTCTCTCTGTGACTATCATAAATAAAAAAAAAATTAAAAAAAAAAAGAAACCTTTATTCCACCTCCTTCTCCACAGGCTATACCTGTTTCTGCTTAAGCCCTTTCCAGCACTCTCCCCTCAATGTCTTAGGACTGAGGATATACCCAACAAATTTGTCATGAGTCATATCCTTTGTCACCTTCTCACCTCCTTTGACCCATTCCACATGCAATCTGTAGGACCTGAGGTGCTTCACCCAGTCATCAATATTGTTCAAGAGATCATTGACCTTGAAAGATGTTGGGTTTTAGAAGTCATTAGGTTGAATACTTTCTTTTGACAGGGTAGAGTCACAGGTAATATGGAACCAAAGTAAGAGAGTGACTCCTTGAGGACAGATTCCTTGTCCTTCCAGTGATCTGTTCCAAAAGTATCAAGAAAATATTATGTAGATCTCACCTTGGACTATCCCTCTCAAAGGAAATGCCTTTTTTTTTCTTTCTTTGTATTTCCAAGATGGAAATGTAAGCCCACTTACTTGTGTTTTTTATCATCAGACATGTGGCACATAGTAAGCATTAAGAAATTATTATTGCATTGAATTGAATAGTGTACACTGCTTTTAGCATCTTCTCAGTTTAACATTGGCTTTTTTAGTCTATAAAACCTCATTTGAAAAAATAACATTAGGGGATCCCCAGGTGGCTCAGCAGTTTGGAGCCTGCCTTCGGCCCAGGGCATGATCCTAGAGTCCCGGAATCAAATCCCGCATCAGGCTCCCTGCATGGAGCCTGCTTTTCCCTCTGCTCTCTGTGTGTGTCTCTCTCATGAATAAATAAAATCTTTAAAACAAAAAACAAAAAAAAAATAACATTATATATATTTTTCTAAATAGTGCCAGACATGTTTTATATATATTAGCTTACTTTTATTGGGTAGATTGTCACTCCCTCTTTCCAGATGAGAAAAGAATCAAAGAATCGCATCACACATGTTGGCCTAAACTAAGTGCTCTCTGTGCTGTATCTACCATTTCTACTAAATCTCACTCCATATAGGACAGGCTGGCCAAACACATGCCCACTATATATTGGTGTTTCCCCCCCCCCCATTCAGCTTAGAGTCCATTTTATGCTTACATGTTTTTCCCTGCTGAATTTGTAAGTGACATAAGTATTTCTCATTTTGTGTGGTAAAGCTGAGTTCAGGGAGGTATTTTCCAAGACATGTATGTCCTGAGTGTGCCTGGGAATTCAGTAATGCTTCACACCTCAGGAATCTACATTCTTTATCTGGAAAAATATCTTCACATCCAACATGTTCACTTTACAACAGTGGCTGGAATTACCCATTTAGTAACAAGTTTACTGAGGAAGTAGAGAAATCAGATAAATTCAAGGTGGTCTGAGTTGAGGTAAGTGCACAGACTTGTGTGAAGTTGCAAATTTTCAGATAAAAAAATACTAATATATTTTTTAATTCTAATATTTTTAAAGTCTTTGTCATATAATGGAGGTGGCTATTTGATCAAAATCTTTGCCATCAAAGGAAAAGGCATCAGATATTCTGGCTATTTGTTTACTACTGTAAAAGACTAGGAGCACAATACGAAAGGAAAAGATGGGATTTGGATTGAAAGTTGAAGGATCTCAACCTGGCTCTTTAAACGTTCCAGCTATTTACCCCGGTTCTTTGTGAGGATGTGCCCCTGGCATTAGAGGGGAAGGGTGTTCCTTTCTGGCATGACTTGCACAGAGCTGAACAACCAGAGTCTTACCTACTATGGAAAGGACATGATTGTTCATGCAGGCCAACTCCTTCCATTCTTCTCGAGACTAAAAAACCTGAGGCCAGAAGCAACAAAGTGACTTCCGCACAATCACAAAGCTGGCCAAGAGAAAAGCAAGGCTCAGACCTCTTCATGCCCAGGCCTGCTTTCTAGAATACACTGTTTTTTGCACCCTTTTCTAATTCTACTGCTACCCTTATTCACTCTGGGAGCTCCAGTGCACCCCTAAACTCTCTCTTCCTGTTGGTGCATAAAGAACAGAGAATCTACACTAAATTTTATTAACTTTTCATGAGTTCCTTAACCTGGCTCCAGCTACTCTCATGTTCTCACCCAGCAGCAAATCCCTTTTCTGAGCCCCATCTGGTTCTACCCTGTGGTTGGTTCTAAGTTTCCACCAGAGTCTATGTAGCTTTAATTCTGCCCAAACTTCCAAGGGAGGGGTAAGAATGGTAGTTGTCGAAGGATATCCAAAAAGGTGTAGTTGATATTGGATGACTGTATGTAAACATTTATTTCAGGAAACCTTTCCTGGTGTTATAGAAAACTCTAAAATAAAGAAAAATGAGCATTTAATAATTTAACTGAAATGGCATCCAGTAATTACCTTCTGAAAGCTGTTGTTGTTTTGCTTGTTTTTAAATTAGAGACTGGCTAAATCTGACAGTAACCGAATTACCCAATAACCATTTATAAAGTTCTCCCATGAGTGTGGTCACTGCCGATAATAGGATGAGCTGAATGAGACCCAATCTCTGCCTCTGAGAAATTCACCATCTCATAGAGCAGATAGAGCAATAGAAGCAGCTCCAGTGGTGGTGTAAGAGCTTTGAGGAGTCCAGTATTAATTTAAAAAATAAAATGGAAAAAGTGGGGACACCTGGGTGGCTCAGTTTGTTGAGTGTCCAACTCTTGGTTTTGGCTCAGGTCATGATCTCACGGGTTATGGGATGGAACCCCGTGTCAGGCAGCCCTGTGTCAGGCTCCATGCTCAGCAGGGTGTCTGCTTGGAGAATCTCTCCCTCTGCCCCTCCCCCCATGCTGGCTCACACACTCGCCCTCCCTCTCTCAAATAAATAAATAAAATCATCAAAAAAAAAGAAATGGAAAAGCAGAAGAGTATTATATAAGAAAAAAATTTTAAATAGCACTTATCAAGACTTATTCTAGTATTACTCTAATAATACTCAAGCAGACAATTTAAAAATATAATACTTTCAACATTTTTAAAGCCACTTAACATTGTTCTTCTTCATGAACTTTGGTGGTCAGTAAAAGCCATGTTATGTTGTTACAACAAAAAATAAAGTAAAAAAAAGTTCGAAGGTCAGTTTTCTTGTCCTTATCAAAAATCCCTTCTTATCAGGACTAATTTAAGAAGAGTAGAACTAAACCCATCTCCAAATCCACTGGATTTACTAATGGGACCAGCTTAACAATAAATGGAAAGTAGAGATCTAATCATCATTATATGAAAATGTACCTGTATCAGATATTAGAGGTATGTAGCAAAATAACTTTCAGACTTTAAACTTAGTGGTGTGTATAATAAATAAGTTCATAGAAACACTTTCATAATAGCCCAAACTCAGAAACAAACCAAATGTCCATCATCAGTAAGGTAAATAACAATTTGTGGGTCAGTCATACAATGGAACATACACACCAATGAGTCTGCGTGAACTATCGTCACCCCATGATAACACGTATCTCACAAGTGCAAACTTGAGTGAAAGAAGCTGTAGAAGAAGAGTCCATGATAATATAGTAACATATAACCTCTCTATATATTCATGTATGTATATATTTATACATAAATTTTATATGTATGTCTAAAATTTAATGTTAAAATGTACTGTAGATGTATTACTAAGCATGGCAGCAAATTTTAAGGCACTGCAAATTTATTTGTGTTTAACGCAAGAACTAAGATTACATGGAAAATTGAGGAATAACCTCTCAAAATGAAATTCAGCCTCCAGATGCAATTAGGATGCTCCCCAAACGTCAACAGGAGGTACTGTAAATCCACTCTGGAAAACATCCACCACACAAAGAACTTACTATTTGGCAAAGTCTAAGTCTGAAAGCTGAACTGCTGATGTCAGCTACTTCTTAATAAGCTACAACTTGAAACTTGTACATAATTTACATCAGTCATCATTATTTCCAAACACACTTGAAATAATCTTTAAATCTTTAAAATAGCAAGATCCCTCAAAAATCCATTCATCTCAAGGAATTAGCACTACTCCACCTACAATGACTTTATAATAATAGCTACCATTTAATATGTCTATAATGTGCCTGGTATTTCAAAATGTTGTCCCTAATACTCAAACAATCCTGTAAATTAGAAATTATCCTCTCTTTACAGCCAATCATTAAGTAGCACGACTTAATGCTACTGTCACTTCAGTTACCCTCTTTCCTCATGCTGCCATCCGGAGAAGGTAACACTTGTGTTCTCCAAGACCACGGCTCTAGTAACCCACAACAAAGCTTCCTGACAGGAAGATGTTCTTATAATAAATAAGAAAATAATAAGGTAAAATAATGATAATAAAATAATAAAACATGTATCATTGGTTTCACTGGTGTCTCTGACCAATGGCCAACACCAAGTGTCCATCAGGACTGCTCTGAACTACCTCACCTCTATGGGGCATCTCCAGCCTCAGGTTGTCCTTCCAAGACTCCTCTGATCTACTGGGAGATTGCTTCTCTAGACTGAACATTTACTCTAAAATCTTTTTCAGATTGCATTGAAACCTTTGGAAATATACCATAAATATAGATTGGAACTTCATGATTGCAAACAACTTTATCCCAAATTAGATCTGACTTAGGTCATTTCATACTTATTCTCCCCAATATCACCTCCCATTGACCACAACTTTGAAGGGGGGGGCAATTGGCAATCTTTATTCAGAAAAAAAAGAAAAAACTCACTTTGATATCAATAGAAATATTATCATATTTTTGTCTATAACACTTTCCAAGTAAGCGATCCATTATTTAACCTCTAATGAAGTAAAAGGACTTTGGCTCTCATATTCAAACTTATCGTGCAGATGACAAAATATCAGGTATCATTAATGATGTTCTACAATCTGCACAATAAATTTGAATTTTGCTCCCACAATATTGACAAATCAGTTGACTTTATTTTCCATGTGCTTTCTAATCTTGTGATCATAGCTTAGGTATATAGATATTAAACACACAACATTCATATTTCAGTTTCCCTTATCACTCTGTTAGGTAATTATTTTTTTATATTTCTGTCTTTGCTTCCAAAGCATAATTCTCTTGCAGGCTGATTCCAAGTTTTATATTCATCTTTGTATCTCATCAGTAAAGAATGCAAATTGTGGCACATAAGAGCGCTTCAAATCTTTTATGGATTTATTTGCTAACATCTGCCTTTTTTCCCTGTAAATAATTTTAACGTTTGAAATTATAGATGATAATTCAGTGTTTCATACTCAATCTGCATACATTCAATCAATAGAGATGCTACATAGTGGAATCAAGTTTTGATTACTTTTCTGCATTAGAAATAGTTCACTTGTTAAATTGGTTTCCTTTAAGATGAAATGTAAAACTTTCGATGAGAGATTTTCTAACAACCCAAAATATTCTGGGGTTCTTTCCTTCACAATAGGAAAAAAATATATAACCCCAAAATATTTCATATCTTATGATTTTCATAATTCCCACAAAGCTATTAATAACCCAAGAATGAAATTCCAACTTGACACACATAAATGCTATACTGCTAGTATATATTTTCAGGTCTAGTTAAAGCTAACTGAATGATAAGCAGTCTTTAAAGACAAATAAATAGTTGTGAAAGATGCAATCAAAAGCATTTCCAACTCAGGTTGCAAAAGAGAAATGTAAGCTCATATTATTTAAAATACAGATATTCTAAATATTATACCATTTTTATATTATAGGAATAATAAAAAGATAAAATTCAATCTGTCAAGTATGTAAAGATTTTTAAAATTATTCAAACATCCACATTTTTAGAAAATCAATCAACTACATCAGACATCTGACCGGGTACTTGGGGGACAAGTGAAGTCACAGATGTTTCTAATATCTCCCAACAAGTATTGCCACATTTACAAAAAATTCAACACATCATAAAACAAACTGCTCTTTTTAAAAAGACATTTACTTCATAAGAATAGCATATCCTTTGGTTTCAATCAAATCCCCTTTGGGTTTCTAGGATTTAAAATAATTTTCCAATGCGATGTTCATTGTTAAGAATGATATTAGGCAATGCTTACATTTACCTTCTTGCCTTTAGAGTTGCTGCTAACAGCTGGGCAGGTAAGTTTCAATCCACACCCCATCAAGAATGGAAATATAGGAACTTTACCCCTCCCACCATGGCACTTTTCCAAGTGCCATTTTGGAATCCAGGGTAAAATTGTCATTGATTGATTAAAGAGGAAAGAAGAAGAAGACAAACATATGGTATATATATTTTTAAACAACTTCACACGTTCTATGCTTTCCACTGAGTTAAATATTTAACTTACTATGTGTATGTTTTCTTTACTCTTTCCAATTGGGTCTCTTTTCAGAGGACTCATCATAATATTTGATCCACATCTTTCTTTTTTTTAAGATTTTTTTAAATTTATTTATTCATGAGAGACACAGAGAGAAAGAGGCAGAGACACAGGTAGAGGGAGAAGCAGGCTCGTTGCAGGGAGCCCGATGTGGGACTCGATCCTGGGTCTGCCAGGATCACAGCCCGGGCTGACGGCAGTGCTAACCCGCTGAGCCACCGGGGCTGCCCCACATCTTTCAACTCAAATCGCTACACTAGAGAAGAAAACAATTTTACTTCATATAACCATTGTTTTGGACATTCTCTTACACTTCAATTTCTGTGTTATTCTACCCTTTCTTCGCTTATTACACAGAATCTGCAAAATGCACATTAAGCTATTATTAATTGTTTGTTGCTTATTTGTGGGTTTTTTTTTTTTTTGCCCTCTAGCAGTCCTGGGTTGGAGTTGGAGGGTTACTATTTAGTTTATCAACTAGAATAGCTGAATACCAATCAGTGGGTGGAAATGATCAAGGTCTACTGACAGAGATGGCATGAGGAGTGCTTTCTAGAAGAAAACTAATTTGCTAGGAAGCAAAGAACTGATCAACTGTGTGCCAATATCTCCAGAAAGTCTGTCCAATTTTGCCTCCACACCATGTGACCTGCTCTTCTATTTGTCCTATTCATTTCTTCAAGGAATTTTAGAGCTCCAGGTACCTCATTTTTTTCCTTTCCCTCCCTCCCTCCTTTTCTCTCTGCCTTCCTTCCTTCCCCTTTTTCTTATCAGGCTTCTAATAAAGTTTTCATGGGACAAATATATTCCACAACTGAAAAAACAAAAGTTTTAAAACTGAGCCAGAGGGGCACCTGGGTGGCTCAGTCAGTTAAGCATCTGCCTTCGGCTCAGGTCATGGTCCCAGGGTCCTGGGATCAAACCCCACAACAAGCTCCCTACTCAGCAGGCAGTCTACTTCGCCTACTCCCTCCTCTGCTCCCACCTGCTCCCCCTGCCTGTGCTTGCTCTTTCTCTCTCTCTCTCTCTCTCTGTCATATAAATAAATAAAATCTTTTTAAATAAATAAATAAATAAAACTGAGATAACATCTGAGGCTGTTTTGGGGTCCATGAATCGGGAAGAAATGTTGTAACTAGAGGAAAGTGAGAAAGCGCGAAAACTTGCAAAATTGACATGATTTAGGGACAGAATGAGGACTCCTCTCTGGCCAGGTTCCCTTTTTGACAGACTTTGTCTCCCTTTGCTAGCTTCTTTTCAGACAACAGTATTTCTGAGCTTCAATTCCACAAATATGATTATATTAGAGAAATTTGAAAGAAAACTTTTTAAAGTGGGGATATTGCTATTATGGAGAACATAAACTGCTTATCTACACTATACGTATAAGGAGAATGTAGGCTACTTATGCAGCTAGTGTGAAATGAAACAAGTAAAAGCCCATTTTATAAGGTAAGATGTTGACCAATGAAAATTCATAGCTGAGCATCAAGAAGATCTCTCGATTATCAATAGCGAACATAGAAAACAAATATGTTGTTAATTCTCCTCACTATTTCATTTGAAAAATGCTTGTGGGGTTTTTCTCTAAATTCTTCCACAAAATTCTGAAAACCATAATTTTTCAGTTGAATATCATCATTGGTTAGGACTTATAGGGGTTGGAAAATTTTAATATGTAATCAGTTAATTCATGTTAGTTGATCAATAACTATTTCACATGGCTGCTGTCCAGCATTACCTTTCAGAAAGGATACTATTCACACGCACAGTAAGGTAATTTTTTTGGTCTGGTTTTCTGGATTTGGGGTTGACACTTTTGTTGTAGTTGGCTGCTGATATTCGTACCACATTGGGCACCTGGGTGCCTGAGCAGATTCAAAGCTTGTTAGACTGTTTTTAATCCAGGACTGAATCTGTTTATCCTCTCAAATAATCCAACAAAATCTGACTACTGATGACTGTGCCCTACAAGCCTAAAAATTTGGTGTGGTATGATTGTTCAATCATTAATGATGAAATCTACCACTATTTGTAGCTAAATATTAAGGTAATGTAATGAATCACTAAGGAGGGTGTGAGAATTCGTTGAGTGTCTACTACATGCCAACACCATTTGTGATTTTGCATACACAATCTCACCTGAGTGAAGAAAGTCAATCTCTCTACTATCAGTGACTTAAAGCGTCAGAGAATTATACTAGAGTTTAAAGGAGTTTTGGAGGTCACTCACCTGACAGCGCTGCTATTCAAGGCAAGCTAGAAAGGTTTTCTGTGTCAACAGGCTGTAAGAACATGATTTCATCAAGTATAGAGTTAGATGGCTCCTCCTAGGTATGTTACAACTCATCAAGAGTTATGAACCAATCTTTTAACTCTTTAGTAATTGGTCTTTTCTTCCTGGATGTAAAATTCAGGAATGCCAGAATGATTCACCAAAGTCTTTGCCAGCTTGTGACACGAAACAATATGATTAACATCTTCTGTTATGATAAAAGTAGTCTTTTTGAAATATCCTAAAGAGGCTCTTTTTCCATCTAATTTTACCTCACATTGCTGAGGAAACAAAACGTACATTGGGAAAATATCAGCATAGTAGGCCTTTGAACTAATGAAAAATAAATCTTTTACCCAAAGTAGACAGTTGAGCACACATTCATTATTTTATCCTTCATATTTATTTTTTTTTAAATTTTTATTTATTTATGACAGTCACACAGATAGAGAGAGAGGCAGAGACACAGGCAGAGGGAGAAGCAGGCTCCATGCACCGGGAGCCTGATGTGGGATTCGATCCCGGGTCTCCAGGATCGCGCCCTGGGCCAAAGGCAGGCGCTAAACCGCTGCGCCACCCAGGGATCCCTATCCTTCATATTTAAAAGCCTGCGCCACAAGATATAAAATCAAAAATACAGGGGATCCCTGGGTGGCTCAGTGATTTGGTTCCTGTCTTCAGCCCAGGACGTGATCCTGGAGTCCCGGGATCGAGTTCCGTGTCAGGTTCCCTGCGTGGAGCCTGCTTCTCTCTCTCTCTCTCTCTCTCTCTCTCTCATGAATAAATAAATAAAATCTTTTTAAAAAAATACATATATATACCATTAAAACAACAAAAAACAATAATAATAAAGACCAAAATACACAAAAGTTTGCTTTAAAACTTGCAATCACCCTTTCCATCAAAGCCCTCCATTCTCCTCGATCCCAAACTGAAGCCTCCAGGCTTCAAACAACACCAACTGCCTGCCCCAGTGAGACAGACACAGAGAACAAAGATGACCAAAGCTATAAGATGGCAAAGAATACAACACAGAAAGAGCAGCACAGTGACAATCAGAGGCTCCAGACCCTACTCTGAATCCTACTAGCTTGACATCTAGAGCAAATACCTCTAGGCACTTCAATTTTCTCATCTATAAAAAAAAGGAATAATAATATGTCTTTCCCTGCTCCTGTTATACAAATGTTCCTATTATTAGTATAATTATATAGAATTAGTACAGCATAAATGTTTTTTTTCATTTCTTAGCCAAATCTATATGACATCTATTTCTTCTGCAATTGTAAATCAGGGCTTCCACCTTCTGATCAAGTTTCAGAGACTAGAGCCTTCAGGTCAAATCCAGTCCACGGCCTGTTTTTATAATAAATTTTTATTGACATACAGCCATGCCCATTCATTTACTACTGTCTGCAGCTGCTTTCCAGCTACAATGGCAGAACTGAGTAGTTGTAAGGAGACCATATGGCCTGTAAAATCTAAAATATTTACGATCTGGTTCTTTACTGAAAACTTTGTCGATCCTTGCTTTAAATGACAAAACATCATCATTTTTAACACCTATGAAATTTTTATATCCTTGGATATATAACCTCTCCTTACACAAAACAAATGTTATAATACAGATAAGAAATACAGTTTCCTAAATTAAAAATATTCATTTGCATTTGACCTTAATCCCAAGCAAAACTCTAGACCTCTCTAGTATCCCAGTAAAATAATAGCCCAGGCATTCATTTGGTAAATAACTATTTATTGAGTGCCTACCATGTGTCAGGCATATCCAGTGAACAAAAGGATGATTGCTCCTGACTCATGGTGCCTAGTGCAGTAGGAGCTTACAACCCAGACTGTCTTACCTGCATCTAGATGTAATAAGCATTTACGGAGGACCCTATATGTCACAGACCCTTCCACATCATTACCTCATTCAGCTCTCCAATAAGCCAAAGAGGAAGACATTATTTTCCCAACAGACAAATGAGAGAATTGGGACTCAGACACATTCAGTTGCTCGCAGTAACGATGCTAGAAAGTAGCAGGATGATATGATGATAAAGTAGCACCTGCCTTGCACTCTATGCCAAGGATAAAGATCCTCAAACATCTTGCTTCAACACTGGAACAACTATCCCAAAGGCTCCTGTACCACCAAATGCTTGCCCTCTCCCGATACATACCTGGAAGCCAGTGAGGACTGTCCCCAGCTTAGGTTTGTGCTCTGATGAAGTCAATTCAATTATCACACAGAGGAGGGAGCAGCCAAGTCCTACAGCCTATGAAAACTGGTAAGGATAGGTGTTGAGTAATTCTATGACTTTCTAATTATGACCATGAATCACAATGATTAACCTATAAGACAGGGGGTGGGAGAGGAGACACATTTATGGTTATTAGTTCAACAAATTTTAGATTGAAGTGATTATCTCTAAATCTGTTATCCCTCCTTGAGAATAGAGCATTCCACTGGCACAGCTTCTCTTTATAAGCTGTCCCACAGCCAGCTATTTTCCAGGAAACCATAGGTTACAGAGGAAACCTTTAAAAAGGGAGGCTAGAAAGGCCTGGACTCCTGCTCTGTTCCTTATTCTCCCCAAAAAACTTACAGAGAACTTTCAGCACTGTAAAATTCCATGAGATCATGGTTTGTAAATGGAATACGCAAAACCCAAGAGGAATGTTTTTTTTTTTTTAGTGTGTCCCAGCCCACTCCCAGAAAATGGATTGATTGAGTGACAACAGAACAGTATACATGATGTTCTCTGAAAACCTATCCTTGAGCCATGACTGAGTGAGAATCATAATTTGAGGAGAAAATACTATCTGTAATTACATCAAAAATGAAGACCTAATCCCATTACAGAAGAAAACCCTGCAGTTCGTGGAATATTAAAGTTGTGAACTCCTAACCTACAAACCAGAGAATCAGAGAATCAAAAGGAACTTAAAGTAGCATATAAATTACAAATACAAAATTGGGTTCCTTACATAAGTCATATTGATCCCACAGAATAATAGTGTAACTGAGAACACAACTATAAATGCAATAAAAGTTTTGACTTAGAAGGATGGTCAGAAATTTGAGATAGTGAGGGTGCCTGGGTGGCTCAGTCAGTTTGGCATCTGACTCTTGATTTTGGCTCAGCTCATGATCTCAGGGTTCTGGGAACAAGCCTTACATTAGGGCTTGACATTCTCTCCCTCTCTCTCTGCTCCTCCCCCTGCTCTCTCAAATAATAAATAAATCTTTTTTAAAAAATAAATTGGGTGGCACCTGGGTGGCCCAGTCAGTTAAGCATCTGCCTTCGGCTCAGGTCATGATCCCGGGATCCTGGGATTCAGCCCCACATGAGGCTCCCTGCTCACTGGGGAGCCTGCTTCTCCTTCTCCCTCTGCCACTCCCCCTGCTAGTGTTCTCTCTCTCTCTCTGTCAAATAAATAAATGAAAACATAAAAAAAAGAAATTTGGGAGAGTAGACTATAAATGAATTTTAAATAATGCATGTTATTTGAGAAAATTAAAGACATTTAGTATGTGAATAAAAAATAAAGGTAATTACAAGCCCATTAAATTACAATTTTCTTTTTTTCTATACATTCCATTTTTACATAGTTGAATTCACACTACATTGTAGTTTTATATCTTGCTTTTTTTATTTAATATTTCACCCTAATTATTTCTCCATATTTTAAAATTCTGTTCATAAGAATTACTTTTAATGACTATGTGAGTGTGCCATAAATTACTCATCCATTCTTTTATTAATTCAACATTTAGGTGGTTTCCAATTTATATAAATACTGCTACTAAAAACATTTGGTTTTAGCCTGTTATCTAAATCTCAGATGGTCTTTTTAGCACAGATATCTAAATATTAAATTAAGGGATAGAATTTATGAACATTTTTATGCCTGACTATGCCATGTCAAATGTATTACAGAGAAATTCCACCATAGAAGGACCTGCCATTCCACTGTTCTTTACTAACCAGTTTTTCCTCTCCTGAATCCTGACAAACCTTCTCCCTGCTAAAAAAGGTCCCTGAGAGAACAATGAAAAAGGTCAGCATTCTTTACTATGCCTTCTACACAAATCATTACTCTGCACAACTAGATGAGTGACTATTTAGACCATCTATTATTCCTTCAAGTCAGATTTTTTAAAAATATTTTATTTATTTATTCACAAGAGACACAGAGAGGCAGAGATATAGGCAGAAGGAGAAGCATCCCAGGACCCTGAGATCATGACTCAAGACAAAGGCAGACGCTCAACCACTGAACTACCCAGATGCCCTTCCTTCAAGTCAGGTTTTGAGCATCTTTGGAGTAGTCTCTCCCCTGGGGATGAGAACGAGGTTCAACCACCTAATTTCAGAGTATTCCTAAGGGAACACTGAAGATGGCTGGAGCCTAGCTTTCTTGCATTTTCCACCTTGTAGCAACTCTCTGCACCCCTGGTGGCCAGCAACAATGTACATAGGATATGCCATTTCAAAATTTAGAATATGAGCCACACAAACTTAATCTGGTTATTTTAGTGCACAAAATTAGACTGAAAATACACAGTGTACATGGGGGTTATCCATGAAGTTACCCAATTGGTTCTCTCTTCTACCATGGGGGTCTCTGGGAGAACGACCACTCCACCGCCATCTGTCTCCCAGGGCACTCCAGGAATAGAAATCACTTAGATAAGCCACACACTAGACATCAATGTGAGTGTCCAAATAGAGTGACAGGATTTTACTGGCATTTTATTTGAAAGCAGAGGGAGTGTGTGGAATAAGGAGAGGGAGAAGATGGAGAGGATAAACATTAGTTCCTGACATAGCCAGACAAGAAAACAAAGTCCTTGGTGTCCCCACACATCCCTTCCTGGTGCCCTCCATTCCTCCACATCCTAGAGCCCTCTCCCTATTTCTGGAGATGATGGTGGTTAAAAACCCTGTGACATGCAGCACCTACTGGAGCTTACTTAGTTTTGTTGAAGAAGTTGTAACCATTTTGTGCACTCTTTCATTCCCCCACCCCACTTTTTAATAGATTTTTTTGAGAGCTTTTTTAGGTGTACAGAAAAACTGCACAGGAAGGGAGAACATATGCTTTCTGGTTTCACACCTTCTTACCGGCTCTGACTGAGCCTTTGGAATGGTCTTGGCCATGGCTGCTGTGAGCAATTATGAGAGCCCCTGAGAAGAGCGTGGTCACCAAAAGGAAACAATGCAAAGGGAAAAGAAATGACCCTGGTATATGTAGAAACTTGATCTTTTTCCTACAGAGAGAATAGCTTGTAGTCCCAGCCTTTCCAAGAGTGTAGATAGTTTAAGTAGTGGCCAGAAATGAAGGAAAATTTTTCAAGAATTTATTCCTATAAAATTTAATTCAGTTACCTTGGACTTTTGAGGAAGGAGTAAATAACTATCTGTTAAGTCAGGGGTTTGCTTCATTTTATTTGTCTCCAGTGAACTTTCTCCTTTCAGATACTGTGAGGTCCTTAGACAACTAATAAATCTAAGGGCAGTTGGTTATGTATAAACCCCCAAAACAGGGGCACCTGGTGGCTCAGTGGTTGAGCGTCTGCCTTTGGCTCATGTCATGATCCTGGGGTCCTGGGATCAAGTCTTGCATCAGGCTCCCTGCAGGGAGCTTGTTTCTCCCTCTGCCTATGTCTCTGCCTCTCTTTGTGTCTCTAATGACTAAATAAAATCATTAAAATCATTCATTCAATCAATCAATCCCCAACAACAGAAAATAAATGCATCAGTTCAATCTAATAATCATGCTCGAACTTAAGGGAAGCACCAGGATATTTGCAGAAATTCTTCTTGTCAGACTTCCTCACTGTGTAACATTGGTGTGGTCAGCAAAACTTACTAAGCCTTCTGTTTTCTCCAACACCAGATGATAAAAGAAAGGTCCAAATAGACTCAAAATACATGTCAATTCCAAATTTTGGTGCCACAAAGAAAGGGGACTAACAGTAGAAGTTAGGGTGCAAAGAAGAGAGCCACAAATCAAAGTTGGTGGCAGAGGGATCAGGGAAGATCACATCTCTGTTTCATCCATGATATAACAAGGGGCATCACCAGTCACTTTGCTGAGCCCAACATTTATTTGTCCTCTGCTCAATAATTCAAGAGATCTGATCACAATAGGAAATCATATTCCTTTTGACCTGACTTGTCCTTTTATTTTGTAATTCCAAACTTATTTATTTTTAAACCACTTTATTGAGCTATAGCTGACATACAAAAAAAAGCTGTACATACAAGATGTATATAAAATGATGAGCTTCAAGATAAGTATACACTTGTGAAACAGCCACTACAATCCTCGTTTTTAGTGCTTTTGAGCCATACTCCCTTTTAATGCCTCAGAGCAAAGGATACAGTTTTGTTGAGTTTTTAAATCTGTATTTACAAAACCTAGGCTCCATACTCCAGGAGTCCTTGCATCCTTACCTTCGACCCCTAACTTTTGCCTTCACATCCCTAGAGCTTCCAACATACCAATGAGATCTTTTCCTATTACTCAAAATTAAATCCAGAGCACCACACAAACAAAAGAATTAGGTTGGACTTATCCTGACACCATACACAAAAATTAACTCAAAATTGGTCAGATGTAAGCATAAGAGCTAAAACTAAAAACCTCTTACAAGAAAACATAGAAGTAAATCTTTATGACCTTAGGTTAGGCAATGGTTCCTTACATGTGACACCAAAAAATAGCACCAAGAGAAACAAGAGCTACACTGAAATTCACCAAAATTAAAAATTTCTGTGCTGCAAAAGATGCCATCAAGAAATGGAAAGGACAGCCCACAAAATGGGAGAAGATGTTTGCAAATCATGTATCTGGAAAAGAATTTGTATAAACAATCCTTTACATCTCAACAAAATAAATAACACAATTTTTAAATGGGCAAATGATTTCAACGGAAATCCCTCCAGAAGAGATATGCAAAATGGTCAATAAGCACCTGAAAAGATACCCAACATCATTCATCATTAGGGAAATGCCAATCCAAACCACAATGACATACCACTCCATCTTTCATTGCTGTTCTTTTTCCCTTTACTCAGCCAAATGGGCTTCCTCATGCTCTAAACTTCATCCTTAAGTGCACAAACATAATACTACTTTTAAATAATAGTAATAAAATATTTCAGAAGATTAGTCATTATATGGAATTTCATAAATGTAATCTATCTTCATGGGATTTTTCTTAAGATTTTATTTATTTACTCATGGAAGACACAAAGAGAGAGAGGCAGAGACACAGGCAGAGGGAG